TTAAGTTTAATCTTTTTTGGGGAGTTGGGTGTTTGTTTGGTGTTCTTTCTCCTGCCGGTGTCTCGAGGGTCGGTGTCCTAAGACGCCATGGTAAATGGAGAAAGTTTGTCCCACCTCACGCGAAAGCACGGCATTAAGATCAGCGTGGGCTTCCCGTGCAGCGTGGAGGACATTGGGCTGGCTGTGGGGGACATGGTCGGACACAGCAGCGTAAAGTCGGCCGCTCGGATGAACAGCGCTGTGGTCATTTTCCTGGACCAGGTGGAGAAGGTGAACCGAGTCATCGGGGCGGGCCTCACGGTTAATGACATGTTTGTTCAGGTGTTGCCGCTGATGCAATCTTGTCTAACGTCCCTCCTTTCATCACTGACGAGTTTCTCAGCAGAGAACTCTCCAGACACGGAGAGGTGGAGTCACCGATCAAGAAGATCTTGTCTGGATGTAAGTCTCAGTTTGCTGAAGCACGCGGTGTCTCACCGCAGACACCTGTATGTGATACTTTACAACCGGAACGAGGAGCTCAACCTCCGCTTCCACGTTAAAGTAGATGATTATGATTACGTGATTTTCGCAACATCGTCAGCGATGAAATGTTTCGGTTGCGGTGAGGAGGAGCATACCGTGAGGGCCTGTCCGAGGCGAGGGGACCCGGCTCCACCTGACCCGGGTGTGGCGCTCGGTGCTGTGGCAGGTCCGTCCGCCGGTCGCAGGGGAGCAGCGGGCGACCCTGCGACTTCATCCTTCAGTTCCTCTTCATGTTCTTCTCACTTCTTACACACTTTGTATCTGTTGATGAGGAACCTTTGACCTCATGAATAATCACACCAATCAACCTCCGATCCATTTCCACTCCGTGTTTTCTCTGTGATCGTTTTCTGGAGAAACAAAACGCACTCCGTGTTCTGCTGACTCTGCATTTCCCAGGATGATAATAACAGTAAGAGTCCTCCGCCGCTCACAGCACTGCATCGAGGCCGAGGTGAGGCGGATCAATGGCAGCGATGAGGACTCACCGGTGACCTTCAGCTGATGATGAGCATCTGTTCTGTAAAGAGTCCTGAAACTAACTCTGCTCAATGTTTCTGCACCGATGTGACAATTCAAAGTATACAAATATAATGCAACACAATGCAGGAAGTCTCGGGGGAACAAAGTGATGTCTTTGGCTAACATTGATGACGTCACGTTGTTACCTCATAGAAACATGAAGAGACCTCATAATGTACTAAACTAAGTATAAACTTGACTGTATCACAATCCATTTATGAATCCATTAATTTAGACCAAATCTAAAATATCATTTATTTGTGTCTGGAACCTCATAAAGACCTTAAACTCATCATGAGCTTCCTGCGTCTCTGCTGCCCCCTGCTGTTCACCTCAGACACAGGAAGAACACAACACATCCATCCTGCTGACGTGCCCTCGAGCCAAGAGAGCAGTGTCCTCTGAAGAGGAAGTTTATTTTGAAAAGACTGTAACGAGCAGGAATGCTCAGTAGGTCTAAAGTCAGTCTTTAGGTTATCTTTGGTGGTTTGAAGCCTTTTCTCTTTTACCTTGTCGTTCCCTCCTTGTTGACGAAGAAGAAGAAGAAGAAGGTCGATGATCAGAAACCAGGCTGAGGGGACGAGGAGGGTCAGGCTCAAGGACACGCCGGCAGTGTGGGAGTTGAACCTACGGGTCGGCAGTGTGATGGTTCTATTTCCTGTCTGCCTCACTTCTATTGAAACTGTTGGAGGGACCTGAGCTCTCACACTAGATCCAGCCAGTCTTGGTTCAGATCCCTCAGAGGATCCACCCGAACATATGCTCTAATGTTTGATATCATGATGATTTGACTCTTTGTTTTTGTCCCATATTTTTATTTTGGAACCTCTGAATGGTGTGAAGACACCAGTCTGACGTCTTGAGTCCTCCGTGGACCAGAGGTCTGGATCACGGACTGCTCTAGGTTCAGGTCCTGTTTGAGATCTGAGACCGGTTTCTCCTTCATTGTTGGGAATTGAACCTGCGGCGCCCTGACCGCTGGACCACATGCACCGATCCACACCGTGATGTCACAATGTCTCTGAGCTCAGAGGTCGCAGGTTTGAATCCTGCATCGCTCCAATAGCTAACGTAGCCTGTAGCAGCGGCCACACACACACATACACACACACACACATCCTGGACCTCCTCAGTGGACATCCTGGGGCCTCGAAAATAGAAATGAATAATATCAGGTTTATTATTATTTATTATTAAAGGTTTTTAAAAGACATGGTGTCTTATTTAATCTTGAGTTTTGGTATCTAACCTTTATTGTTATCTCATCTCAGGTGGATTGTGTCTGTGTCTGCGTCTGAACACATGTTCTACATTATGGTTCAGAGAAACAGAGCAGGGTGTCACAGTTCAGCTCCTCACCCTCCTCATCAGTCTGACTCCCTTCACCTGTTCACTCACCTCCTCTGATCAGTAATCAGCCCCTCTATAGACTCCTGCCTCACAGACACATTTGCTAGATTGTTCTTCTGTTTTCTATGCCAGACTCTCCAGCACGCTCTCACAGACTGATCTCAGGACTGATCTCCTGTTACGACCCTGCCTGCCCCGGTTCTACCCGCCTGACTCCCGGTAAACCCACCAGCCTTCTGATCCTGACCCTGATTATCTCTGCCTGCTGTATTGGGAAGTTTGTAATAAAAGCCAAAGATCCCTGGAATCATGTGTGTTGCATTTGGGTCCATATACAACCGGTTACACAGGCTGAGTTTAATCCTTCCAGCTGTTCATTTCAATTAAATTCACAAACAATGGTTTTCAAAATGTCTCCTTTTGTCTCTGACTTTGTCGTTTTCTGAGACGTTTAAACTAAACAATGAGCTGAACACGTCATATGATGTCATTGCCGCACAGCATTATGGGATGTTTCTATCATCTGCATTCATAGCTTGTGTTTAAAAGTATGAAGGAGCATTAAGGTCACGTTATGTTTTATTTCTACTGCTGAACACGGATCAGAAACTCTGACTCTCTGTGGTCGGAGCGTCACAGTTTGGATGCCGCTCTCTCCTGATTGGCCGGAGCAGCAGCGATGGCGGCCGTGGGTCGACCAAAGAGCCGGAGCCGGCTGACCCCTCCGTCCGGGCTGATGGTGAGACGGACGTGACTGACGGCTGAGCTGAGAGCGAGCTCGCTGTAGAGATGTCTGTGATGAGGACGAAGCTGCAGCGCAGTGAGGAAGACAGGAAGTAGCTCAACACACAGACCTTCATCAGCTGATCGCATTCCCTCTCATTGAACAAGTACAAATATCCAACGATCTATATAAATACATATATATATATATATATGTGTGTATTTAATGAAAGCTGATAAACTAAACTGACTCAAACAACAGACAACGTTTAGCTGAACTGTTCGAGGTTTCTTCTATTTAAAAGACATCGTAATGTAAATATTACCTGAAATGTTCTCACGCTATCACACGTCTGTCGTCAAAAAGAGAAAATTACTTTCTTAAATTAATTGCAGCGTCCAATAAATGTGAAAAAGGAGAATTCTACATCCAGACGTCCACATGCTGAATTATGCCGACTCATCGAGGACAGCTGTGATGTGTTTTATCAGATGTTCAGTAAATCCCCACAATGCACCACTGAGTAACAGTCAACAGAATCCAACATAATAAATCCATCATGAACAAGAAATATGACTCAAAATGAATAAAACACATTAGTTATAAGTATACTATATATAAGTCTTTAAAATACACATATTATTGTGTTCGCTTTTATAACCTGTCTTTTTCCCAATTAAACAACAAACTGCTATTGTTATGTTGTAGACATTCTGTAGTTTATGATTCTTGGTGTTGGGCTCTAATAATTCAAAGTTGTGGATTTTGATTTGAAAAATGATAAAAATCTTTATTCTCCTCGTCACTGAGAGTTTTGTTGTCAGTAGTTGTGGTTGGCTGGCGGCCATCTTGGCAAACGACAGAGCTTCTTTACAGTGTGAGTGAGATGAGCTCTCTCCATGAGCCCCTCCCCTCTGTTACATGTCTGGAGATCTGAGGAGCTACTGTCTGTAAATTCATTTCTTACGGATATTACGTACTTTCTGAGGGGGGAGAAGGAGCTGCCATTTCCCAGAATTCCACCTGGTGCTGATGCACTGAGCTTCCTCCTCAGGGGTCAAAGAACAAACCTCAATCCTGCAAGTGTCCGGGAAGTTACCTGGATGGAGAGACGCAGGTAAATGTACTCTGCTCATGAAGAAAGGTTGAACAGAGAGAAAGCAGCATGAGGAGCGTGTGGACCTTTGAAGTGGTTGGTGTCCACCTCGACGCTGCTGATGAGTCCAGGATGACCGAGAACAAACACCGCCCACTCCCAACCGGGGACCTGCAGGATCCCTCGCTGGTCCACCTGCAGCACAGGGAGGCGCTTTAAAGAAGATTCAGGGCTCAGATGTGTGATGGTTTAGACAGCGAGGACATTTTGGGGAAAACAGAAGGATTTTAGAAAGAAAGATGCTTCTTAGAAAGTGAGTGAGGATCATTCTAACATTTTTTCTCTTACTTCCTGACAGCTCTGTTTATGATTTCTGTGACAGAATTATGTTCACGTTAATGTTCACTTCAGTGTCTGTTTGTGTTTAAACCTTCAGGTCTTTGGGTCTGTCCAGTCTGCGGGCCGTTTCCCAGCCGTCGGCCATGTTGGCAGCTCGGCCGGGACCTGAAACACAATACACCAGTGTTACCATTTCACCAGTTCACCATTTCACCAATGTCACCAGTTCACCCATTCACCAGTTCACCAGTGTACCAGTGTCACCGGTTCACCAGTGTTACCGGTTCACCAGTTCACCAGTGTTACCAGTTCACCAGTTCAACAGTTCACCAGTTCTACCAGTTCATCAGTGTTACCAGTTCACCAGTGTCACCCGTTCACCCGTTCACCCGTTCACCAGTGTCACCTGTTCACCCGTTCACCAGTCCTCCCACAGAGAGCAGGTGAAGCCCAGTGATCAAAGCTGACTTAACATAACGTCATAAATAAGAAATAACACTTAATTTCCTGTGTTACCAACAGTAAACATAAAATTAGATGCACAAATTATTTGTGTTGATTCCAACCAATCATGTTGCGCGGATGTCCAAAGTGGGCGTCGCTGTAACCGAGGCAGACTCCCCCATTGGTCAGAGCCACCAGGTCGACATCCTGGTGGGGGGAGACAGACGACCAGTCTATCTGCCCAACGCCGTACACCCGCAGTCTGGCTATCCCTCCATCTGATGAGATAAGAACACACTGTACAGTTTTATTGTCAGCATTACTATTTGATTATGTGTGTGTTTGTATGTGTGTGTGTGTGTACCTGGGTGCATGTTGAGCCGCAGGTGTGTGACTCTGTGATTGAAGTTGACCTTGAAGTAGTTATGGCAGCAGTCTGAGTATCCAGGCTCCAGCTCCGACAAACACACCAGCTCAGGCCACGCCTCCGAGCCCAGCTGTCAATCAAACCACACGACAGCTGTCAATCAAACCATATGTCAGCCATAAATTGTGCCGTCAATGACACGTCTAAAACTGACTCTAGAGGGGAACGTAGAGCGTCATATGACGCTAGAGAGGAACGTGGAGCGTTGTATGACGCTAGAGAGGAACGTAGA